CCGCCGGTGAGGACATCGTCGACGGTCTCGACCACGCCGTCCAGCAGCTCGACCACGCCGCCGACGACATTGTTCAGCAGGCCGCCCGGGGCCACGTCGCGGCGCTTGTTGCCGGTCAGGACGCCGCCCAGGTTGTCGACCACACCGTCCAGCAGCTGGACCACACCGCCGACGGTGTCGTTCAGCAGACCGGGCGCGCCGGCGCCAGTACCACCACCAGTGGCACCGCCAACAATGCCACCGGCGGTGTTGCCACCACCGGTCAGCACATTGTCCACGGTGTCGACCACCCCATCGAGCAGGTCGACCACGCCGCCGACAACGTCGTTCAGCAGGCCGGGATCGCGGTCCGGCATGGCAGCCGTCGGGGCCGGGGTCGGGCAGCTGTGAGTGCCGCAGTGGCCGCACCCGGCGCACTTGTCATGGCAAGCAGGCATGGTCGGGGCCTGGGTAGGGCAGTTGTGGCTGCCGCACGCGCCGCACGAGCACTTATCCTGGCACGGGGCCACGGTCGGCTTGGGGGTGGGCTTGGGCGTGGGCTTGGGCGTGGGCTTGGGCGTGGGCTTGGGCGTGGGCGCGGGGGTCGGGCAGGTGTGGGTGCCGCAGGCGCCGCACGAGCAGCGGTTCTGGCAGGTATCGCCGCCGGTGTGGCAGCCGCCGGTGTGGCAGCCGCCGGTGTTGCCGCCGCCGGTGTTGCCGCCGCCGGTGTTGCCGCCGCCGGTGAGGACATCGTCCACGGTGTCGATCACACCGTCCAGCAGGTCAACCACGCCGCCGACGACATTGTCCAGCAGACCGCCGCCGCCCTTGGGGGGCGGGGGAGGCGGAGCCTGGGTGGGGCATTGGTGCGGGGTGCTGCCGCAGTGGCCGCAGCCGGAGCACTGGTGCTGGCAGGGCGGGTCGGTGGGCTTGGGCGTGGGCTTGGGCGTGGGCTTGGGCGTGGGCGCCATCGTCGGGTGCGGCGTCGGGTAGTAGTGATCCGGGAAGTCCGGGTCACCGGGCAGGGTGGGATGCTGGGTCGGCACCGGGGGGCAGTTGTGGCCCGGGATGCAGTACATCGGCGGCTCGGTCGGCATCGGGGTGGGCTTCGGGGTGGGGGTCGGGCAGGTGTGCGTGCCGCAGGCGCCGCACGAGCAGCGGTCATGGCAGGTGGGCGGCGGGGCCATGGTCGGGCAGTTGTTGGTGGGGCAGCCGCCACCGGTGTTGCCGCCACCGGTGCTGCCGCCGGTGTTGCCGCCCTTGGTGTTGCCGCCGCCGGTGAGGACAGTGTCCACGGTGTCGACCACGCCGTCCAGCAGCTGGACCACGCCGCCGACGACGTTGTTCAGCAGGCCGCCGCCGCCGCCGCCGAGCAGACCGCGAGCCTGGCGGTTGTTGGCCAGCATGCCGGACAGGTCCACAGCCTCGGCCATCTCCTTCAGGCTGTCGTGGGTCACCACGGCCGGCATGATGGTCGACAGCCGGTCCGCGCCGCCGATCAGCTCATGGATCGGCAGGATGCCAATCTGGCCGCTGGGGAAGGTCATGGCGATGGTCAGCCCGGGGGCCGGCTGGGCCGCCTCCGCCGAGGGGCGCGGATCGCCCAGGACCGTGTCCAGGGATCCGTCCTCGGCCATCGGCATGTCCTTGATGGCATCCAGCACGGCCTCCTTGCCGGGGATGCGCTCCAGGATCTGGCCGACCTTGGTGCCGGCATCGCGCACCCACTCCGACACATACTGGTGCGGGAGGAGGATATCCGCCGGGTCCTTGACCAGGGGCGGCAGGGGCGGCAGCACGGTCGGCATGATGGTCGGCCGGATGGTCGGCCGGATGGTCGGCAGCACGGTCGGCCGGATGGTCGGCCGGACGGTCGGCAGCACGGTCGGCAGCACGGTCGGCCGGACGGTCGGCAGCACGGTCGGCATGATGGTCGGCCGGATGGTTGGCATGGGCGGCAGGAAGGGCGCGCTCAGGTCCAGCAGCTGGCCAAGGGGCACCTGGCGCATGGTGGCCATCTTGATCAGCTCCGGCAGGATGGACGACACGGCATCCGGCCCGGCCGGGACCTTGATCTCCTCCACCAGGCGGTTCAGCAGGGCGTAGATCTGGATGGCATCGGCCACATTCTGGGCCGAGGTGCGGGCCTGGCCGGCGGTGGCGTGCTGGTCGGCCGCCGCCGCCTCGACCGTGCCGGACTCCATCAGCTCCGGGGTCACCACCTCGGTGCCCACCAGGCACTGGATGATGGTCGGCAGCAGGTGCTCCGGCAGGTGGGTGCCGGCCTCCGGCAGGCGGACGTCCTCCAGGTACGGCAGCATCACATCCAACATCGGGGTAGGCAGGTCCTCCAGCAGGTTGGAGATGCCGTGCAGCGCCTCGTTGGCCGACAAGTCGGCGATGGCGATGCGGGCGCGGCCGGAGGCCGGGCCGGCCGAGGCCCCGGCGTGGGCGGCCTTCAGCGGCAGCTTGGCCAGCTCGCTGGCCAGGAGCTGCTGCACCTCGGCCGGCAGGCTCTGCAGGAGCTCGGCCAGCTTCAGCAGGTCGCTGATGTTGGCCACCGGCATGCTGCCGCCGACCAGCCGGGCCTGGTCCGGGCCGGGCTTGCCGCCGCCGGAGGCACCGGGCCAGCTGGCGTTCTGCACGCTGCTGACCACGATGCTCAGGATGTTCTGCACCGTGGCCGGGATCTGCTTGACCGCCGGGGCCACGGTGTCGGCCCCGGGCAGGGACACCCGGGCCGCCGCGCCGGCCGGGCCCCGTGCACCCGGGGTCAGGCTCGGCGCGATGGCGCTCAGGACCTCCTTCACACGGGTCGGGTCCAGCTGGCCCGGCTGCAGGACGCTGACCAGGTCCTCGGTCAGCTGCCAGCCGTGGCCGTCGTTGAAGATCGGCAAGATGTGGACCTGGTCCAGGAGGTGGGCCACATTGTTGTCGGTAGCGACAACGACCTTGGCTGCGGGTGGCAGGCGCACGTGGGGGTTGCGCATCGCGAGCGTACCCGAGCGCGGGCGGAGGGGGGGGGGGGGGCGGAGAGCGAGGTCAGGCCAGGGAACGAGCACAGGCCGGGCGGTCGGCCAGGGCAGGGGGTCGGAGAAGGGCGGCCACGGC